TTTTTTTAAAATTGTACTTTAGGTTCGGGGGTGCATGTGCAGAACATGCAGGATTGTTACACAGGTACATAAATGGCAATGTGGTTTGCTGCCTCCATTCCCCCATTACCTATATCTGGCATTTCTCCCCATGTTATCCCTCCTCAACCTCCCCAACCCCAAACTGTCCCTCCCTTGGCCCCTCCCAACAGACCCCAGTGTGTGATGCTCCCCTCCCTGTGTCCCTGTGTTCTCATTGTTCAACATCTACCTATGAGTGAGAGCCTGTGGTGTTTGATTTTCTGTTCTTGTGTTGGTTTGCTGAGAATGATGGTTTCCAGATTCATCTATGTCCCTACAAAGAACACAAACTCATTGTTTTTTATGGCTACATAGTATTCCATGGTGTATATGTGCCATATTTTCCTTGTCCAGTCTATTGTCAATGGGCATCTGGTTGGTTGCAAGTCTTTGCTATTGTAAACAGTGCCGAAATGAACATACATGTGCATGAGTTCTTTATAATAGAATTATTTATAATCCTTTGGGATTGCTGGGTCAGATGGAATTTCTATTTCTAGGACCTTAAGGAAGCGCCACACTGTCTTCCACAATGGTTGAACTAATTTACACTCCCACCAACAGTGTAAAAGTGTTCCTATTTCTCCACATCCTCTCCAACATCTGCTGTCTCCAGATTTTTTAATTACTGCCATTCTAACTGGTGTGAGGTGGTATCTCAATGTGGTTTTGATTTGCATTTCTCTAATAACCAGTGATGATGAGCATTTTTTCACGTTTGTTGGCTTCCTGTATGTCTTCTTTTAAAAAGTGTCTGTTCATATCCTTTGCCCACTTTTGAATGGGTTTGTTTGTTTTTTTCTCATAATGCTGTTTTAGTTCTTTGTAGATTCTGGATATCAGCCCTTTGTCAGACGGGTAGAGTGCAAAATTTTTTTCCCATTCTGTTAATTGCCGGTTCACTCTAATGATCATTTCTTTTGCTGTACAGAAGTTGTGGACTTTAATTAGGTCTCATTTGTCTATTTTGGCTTTTGTTGCCAATGCTTTTGGTGTTTTAGTCATAAAGTCCTTGCCTATGCCTATGTCCTGAATGGTTTTGCCTAGGTTTTCTTCTAGGGTTTTTATGGTGTTAGGTCTTATGTTTAAGTCTTTAATGCATCTGGAGTTAATTTTAGTGTAAGGTGTCAGGAAGGGGTCCAGTTTCTGCTTTCTGCACATGGCTATGTTAAAAGTATTGAGGCTGGGCATGGTGACTCACACCTGTAATCCTAGCATTTTAAGAGGCTGAGACAGGCATATCCCTTGAGCTTAGGAGTTCAAGACCAGTCTGGGCAATATGCCAAAACCCTATCTCTACAAAAAATAATTAAAAAAAAATTAGCCAGCATGACGGTGCATACCTGTAATCCCAGACACTTGGGAGGCAGGGGCGGGAGGATCACCTGAGACCAGGAGGTTGAGGCTGCAGTGAGGCATGATCTTGCCACTGCACTCCAGTGACAGAATGAGACCCTGTCTCAAATAAAACAAAAGAAAACCAAACCAAACCAAACAAAACAAAAGTACTGAGTCTTCCAATCCAGGCGCATGGGATATTTTTCCATTTAATATATAGATTTTTTTTTTTTTTTTTTGAGACGGAGTTTCGCTCTTGTTACCCAGGCTGGAGTGCAATGGCATGATCTCGGCTCACCGCAACCTCCGCCTCCTGGGTTCAGGCAATTCTCCTGCCTCAGCCTCCTGAGTAGCTGGGATTACAGGCACGCGCCACCATGCCCAGCTGATTTTTTGTATTTTTAGTAGAGACGGGGTTTCACCATGTTGACCAGGATGGTCTCGATCTCTTGACCTCGTGATCCACCCGCCTCGGCCTCCCAAAGTGCTGGGATTACAGGCGTGAGCCACGGCGCCCGGCCCAATATATAGATTTTTTAAACATTCTTCCAGTTATGTTTTGTAGTTTTCAATGATGTGGTCTTACCTATATTTTATTAAATTTATTTCTAAGCATTGTATTATTTTGATTGTTTTGTATGGTATATATACATACACATATACAGACTTATATACACATATATACAGACATATATATATACACACATGTAATACACACACACACACACACACACACACACACACATATTCTTTTTTGAGACAGAGTCTCACTCTGTAGCCCAGACTGGAGTGCAGGGGCATGCTCTCTGTTCACTGCAACCTCTGCATCCTGGATTCAAGCAACTCTCCTGCCTCAGCCTCCCAAGTAGCTGGGATTATAGGTGCATACCACTGTACCTGGCTAATTTTTGCATTTTTAATAGAGACGTGGTTTCACCATGTTGGCTAGGCTGGTTTTGAACTCCTGACCTCAGGTGATCTACCCGCTTCAGCCTTCCAAAGTGCTGGGATTACCAGCATAAGCCACCACGCCCAGCCTGTTTTGTATGGTATTTTTAAAGATATTTTTTAAATTATTTATTGTTACTATTAAAAATAAATCTGATTTTTATACTAACTCTATATCCTGCATCTTTGCTAACTTCAGGTATTAATTCTACTAGTTCTTTTATAGTTTTAAATTTTTCTACGGCAACAATTGTGTCATATATCATATTAATCAAGAAAGATTAATGTTTTCTTTTTGTGTAATGGCTAGAATGTCTACTACAATATTTAATAGAAGTGATAAAATTGGGTACCCTGCATTAATCCCAGTCTTAGGATAAAGCATTTACTA